ATATATATATATATATATATATATATATATATACCTTGGGTATTTTTCTTTTCTTTTTCCGGTGATAAAAAAATTTAGAACACCAAGTTATGGAAAAGCAAAACGTTTTTAATATCCCAAATATCGCTTAATTACATGTCGATTAATACTCGAAACCAGGTTTAAATAGATCAGAGTTTCAGTACTATATTGCATGTTCAGGAAACTATACCAACTCATTATCGCTTTTATGTTAAAAATGTTTTCGTGTGGAACATTTAAAGAAAACAGTAACTGAAATATTGTAAATTTCCAAGGAAAGATAGAATACTGAAAGATAGGTAAAAATCGAGAAAAACAAACACTGAGCATACAATAATATTTAACTTTTGGATTATAGTGAAAGTAGTGCTCACTGGAGAGCTATAAAAGTCTAAGAAATAAAGTTATATGTCGATTCTTTTATCTTCAGTCTATATTGTTCTTGATTAGATATTAAATAACATATTGGCTTTTTCTTTATATATATTAACGCATAACAACTAAATTTAAATATAATTAAGAGTTATGTTCGAAATCACAAAATTTCAGTTTATTTATTGTTGTTTTAGTATAATTTAAATGTGGAATGTATTAACGTATAAAACACAAAAACAGGCATAATTATTATATTTAAATGTAAAGATTTTAGTAACCTACAAAATTTCCAGATCACACAAATTATTGTTGCTAAGGCGCGTGTTAACAATATCCCACCGCGATAACCACTTTATTATATGAGGGTAGCTGTGGTTCAATCTGAAGGCAAGCCTTCTAACTATAACCTTTTCTGGGATCTTGCCAATATATTTTGTAGGATTCGATGAAGTTTAAGACGAATATAATCCTTCAACGGTTTCGGCAAATATTTGATAAAGCATCATTCCATATTTCAGGAATGTTACTTGTTGTCCGGCTAGGTTGATACTGTGACACCACTTTCAAGGTGTTGGCTTCTGTAAGCTTCTTAAAGTCGAGACCTGGAGCTCCATCTTTAATATCTTTGTATCTCGTTCAAGCTAAATATAGCATGTGGTTGTAGTTAGAATAGGGATTTCAGTATTTTGAACCTCTTATATGTCATTATGATCAAATTGGTTAATGTATCCGTACATAAGGCCTTGTGTTGGTCTTCATCTCTATGAAATGGAATGCGTCTTTATCATAAGTGGCTGAAATTGCCATGTTTTAGATTCCTTTACACGCCATAAGCTTGTGGAAGCACCATAATGAAATGCTTATGAGATTAGCCTTGTTAAACAGTTCATTCCGTTTCATGACTCGTGCATTGTCTCCTATTACAATGTTTGATCATGCATTATGTGCATGAACTCAACATGGACTTGATTGTGTACTTGTCAAGCAGATATCACTGTTCCACTAGTATGGGGTGTACTTTTTAGAGAAGTTGTTGCCTTGAATTTACTCAATGGTGGAGAGATGCTTGAGGATATCAGTGCTGCCAGATAGCGTGACATTTTTATATAGCTTGTAGATTGTTTTGTACCGTTTTTTCCTTCAAGTATTCACGCACATCTTACACACGAGGTGATCAAACAGACTTTATCTCCCCTGTGCCTATGGCACTGTGAGTTTCTTGTTGTTTCACTTGAGTTTAGCAGTATAAGTTAGTAGCTATATTGTAAAGAACAGAATGTCAACTTTTGCCATTAGTGTTTCCACCTGCATTTCAGGTGGGATGTTTGGCATTATTCTACCACTATGTACTAGGGTTGTTGTTAGACAGGTCAGGCAGGAACATTTAATCTTCAGCATGATCTTCTCTGTCGTTTTCACATACATTCAGAGGAGTTATCTAGATGGTTTGTGGTATTCTCAGGTGAAATAGTTTTCCACAAGAATATTTCATAGGTCTGATTTATAATGGGAGGATGGACCAGGAAGATTGTGTAGTATATCTGGGTTTACAAAAACTGAGTTTAAGTTAAGAAAATAAACATACTGGACACGTAATGTAAAGTGAAACAAAGTCTTTATTATATATATTGCAAAAACAGAAAAACAAAAACAAAATGTGTATATACTTGCATGGACACTGGGCCTTCTATATATGATTTATAAATCAAGTTTTCTTTCCGGAAGACGTCTATCTACTAACTTATTCACTGTGATGACCAAGTAGACTGAGAGAAATCCAATGCTCCGTATTAACAAGAAACGTTGGATTTACCGTATGAGTGTCGTTCTTATAGAACACATTTAAGACTATAACCTCTAGGTATCATCTACTCAGCCAGTGAAGATCATTGTTGTCGTTGATCTGTTCTACACAATGTGCGAAGTTTCAGTAACGTTTCCGCAGGCAAAGTAGATACTTTCTGCTTGAGAACAACAGAAGAACAAAAGTAATTAGACCGAAAACAACTCAACAGTTTTGTGAACCACGTGTTTGTGCTAAAGCTGCATATAATCAGAATAATTGAAAACTTTTGGAAATTTCTGTATTAATAAAAGAAGATAGAAAACGTATTTACCTTGCAGTGGTGATTGTTCCACCGAGAGTTGATATAATGTTCATAGTAGTTACTGCTGTCTTGCCAAACCACGATGGCCATCCCAGCCTCTAGGCAATCATGTGGTATGAATTTAAAGGCAGTAAGAGTGAACTCTTCAGGATCTGAGCGTTTAAACTCTTGATAGAATGATGACATAAAAATAAGAGAGCTTCTCGTGGCACACACTAGAAACCATTAAGTTTTTAGTAGTAAATTTTATTATAAACAGAAAAAATAGCATTCTGATAATAATAATAATAAAACTAATACAACCTGTTCATCAACATATCAGGTCAAGAGGTATATTATATTTTATTCTTTTCTCCATGAATAGGTAATTAAAAGAAATGTTTTTGTTAAGATTAGTAATACTGATAAAAGTAACAATGAACAAACTAAATATCTCTGGCATATTCGACATGGGGATATAGATCTAGGAGTTTTTTAAAATTTTGTGAATTGTTGAAGAAAATAGCTAGTGTGATATGAATCGGTAGCCTTAAGAAATTATTGCTTCTCTCTTAACACGGGGTCAGTCACGTGACCCTTTTGTATTCGTTTAAAGTTTTTATAAATTTAATACTTATAACTCTCAATATATTGGGTATATCTTCACGAAATTTGGCAGTCTTTCAGTTAGTATTACAAGTCTTTACATACAAAAAGTCATATTTCTTAGTGAAGTATTTTTAATATATTGAGTATTTGTTTTGAATAGTCCGTGTACAAAGTAATTTTCATGTTAAAATTAAAAATACTTTTGGTCATCTCAAAAATCACAAATTTCCTTTGTGTAGTCCCTAAAACCTCCTAAATGCATTTTAAACGTTTTTTTTTGTCACTAAATCCATATAGTTTATCTGTTATCTTCTCTACGCTATCTCAAAACGGGATCGGTCAATTCGACCTCGTAACTACCAAAGAAAATCTAAATAAACCTAAATTAACTTTTTTCTTTCTAGAATGACTTCAAATTGTAACATGAAACTACATTCTTTTATTCTAAGTAGCTCTATGTTCGTAACATTATTCATCTATTTATAAATACGTTTTATTGTTTTATTGCCCTTTGAACGTGTCTAACTACTATCCGCGCCAGTATAAGTATAAGTTGTATATCACTCGGGGAACGTGCATCTCACGTACGCTATCGAATTATATTACCCACGAACTGCTCGCGTGCTTGCCTCGTGAAATATTTTAATTATATTATTATTATTATTACTTATTTTACCTAATCTTGTCTTAAATAACTTAAAAAGATCGTATTTTTAATTTTAGTTACTTTTATAATAATAAATAAATAAAGAATAAAGTACTTACCCAATTTTCTTTTTTTCTTGCCCTCGATTGTCGAGGAGAGTTAAGCCTGATTTTTTATCGTAAAGCATTTAACAATTTTTATTTAATTAAATAATGCATCATAGAATATAGACTAATAAATGCAAAAAGTAGACACATTCACTAACCTCTCAAAATTTTCCTGGTTTTCCAACTATGAGAGCCTTTACACAAGTTACAAATTCATCCCAGCTAGTCCTTAACTTTCCCATAGAATGATGTTGCTACTCTGAGTGAAATTCACGATTATCTGTTCACAACACAACGTTATACAATCAATACCTCATTTGATAGATGAAAACCTTGACTTTCTATTGGTTATAGGTAATATATAATGAAACATAAGAGAGAACTATCAACGAATTGTGAAAGAGAGGGTATGACAGGTGTGTCTGATTTTATATTTGATAGCTCTGTAACCAAAAAAATTGAAGGCTATAAAAATTATGGTTTGTTTGAGCAATAACAATTTTATAGAGTGTCTTTTATGTTTAATTTCATACATTTTCGAGGGTTGATGGATAAAATATGGATGATAACATGCTAAGACAAAGTGTGTCACGTGGTTCACACTAGTGGAAATTCAGGATTTTTTTTATATATTTCCTTGTAGAATTAAGAACTTAAAACTTCTATACTATTAAAATATGGATTATTAGCTAAGATTGTATGCTATTCTAATTGGCATAACATAAACAAAAAAGTAGTTTAATAAAATTTTGAATGTAAGACACTAAAACCTTGTGTCATGCGCAGTAAAGGGTACCCAGAGCGACAGGTTTTCTTAACAAAAGGACTTTCTGTCCTTAATTATTTTTTTTCAAATAATCTGGACCAAGCATGACCCAGTGTTAACGTGCTGGACAACAACAAAAAAGTGCTTCATACACATTGGTATCATGAATGTTTTATAA